AACACAAGCAACACTCGAATTAAGGGAGAAACGAAAGCTTGTTCCAACGAGAACAGGCAGAATGAATTAGAATCTTCTGGGCTGGAGAGTAATTCCCTATTGGAAGTTATCAAAAGTCATTTGCGATTTACTGAAACTGGACGATCAGCGACGTTGCCTTCCAAAATAGGAAAAGTCAGAGTTTATCAGAATTTTGTTTTACACGGAAACCACCAAACAAGGAATAGGCGAGTTGGCACCGATGGGAATCGAACCCGGGGCCTTGAGATTGCGCGATAACACTCTAAACCACTGAGTCACGGTGACAACTCAAGTCTTCGGTCGATATATTATACAACTTTTGTTAGTTAATTATAAAAACTCGCACATCTTTTTTAACTCTAAAAGAACTGTAAATTTAATATTTAAAACTTGCAATTGGGGACTTTACTGAGAAAATATGCAGTTTTTTATAAATTTTGAATAGCTGTAAATAGGGAAAACTTAAACCGTAATTACTTTTACAGTTGTTAGCTAAAGCGCCTTAAAATTAAATGGTAACCTTTTATTGAGCGGTATATATGAAAGCATATTTAATATACCGTTTATTTTTTAATAATGCGACCCAAATTAATTTTAAAAAAAATACATTATATTACACGCCCTCTAGCAGTATTCAAAAGTTAAATTCTATTCTTTTTGTTCTTCTGAAACTGCAAAAATAAAGGCTCAAGAATTTTTAATTATTTATTGCTTACGTTTACATACTTTTAATAAGCAGATAGTAGACGCTTTTTTTTCTTACCAATAAAAATTACTCGATTTTAAAACCGTATATCTAGCTTCGATTCCTTTACTACTGAACTCAATATTAGTCCATATTTCAGGTCATTTCATCTCTTTTTAATAAATATTATAAATAATAATATAACTTATAATATTTGTTTCTAGTCAAAAGAATAAATTGGCTCAAGTTGGTAACAACAGCTTTAAACTATTAGTTTAGATACCTCTCAAAGAGAACTTGCTATTGGTTTTTTACATTCACACATGGTTGATTTTTTTTGAGGGGTCTTATTTTTCCTTCCCCTCGCCGCCCTCTTTTTTTTCATTTTAGTATTCTGGCTTTTCCCTCTGTACATCCCCCGTTAGTTTTCTAAGCTCTGCTTTTGCTTGAGGTTTGTTTTTCTACTGTTATCATTTTATTTGATTCCCTTCTCTAAACCCTTGCACTAGTGATCCCCCTTAAACCTTATAAGATTACCACTCTCATTTTTTTTATTAAATGGAACTTCTAGTTTTTCTTTTTTTATAGGTGTTTTAGTGTTCGTAGTTGACTTTTTGAATTATTTTTTTATTTTGTTTAGGTTTTTGAATTTTTTAAAATTATTTTGAAATGGATGAGTTGGGCATTTTGGCTTGCATAGATTTTTTTTGCCGTCAAATTAACGAATCGTCTGACTCTGTAGTCGTACAAAATTTGTGGCATTCAATACGTCATTTGGTCAGCGTTATCGAGCACTCTACTCATATAGGAAAGTCTACTTGTCTTCGTTTGGTATGTATATTTGCTTGCAAAAATTATTTTAATTAGAAAAAATAATTTTTTTTAGATAATTGCGAAGAGTGTTGTTTTCCTTTGTCGTTTTAGCGAAATTGCTAATCCAGATATTTCTATTGAAGAATTTGGCCAAATTCTTGATTTGCTTGAGCTTTTGAAGGAAACTGTGGAACTTTTGGACATTAAAATCTATGAAGATTTGAAAATATACGTTACGACAGCTCTACTTTTTAGCTTTCAAGATAAAGAATCTGCAAAAAAACTTTGCAGCAAGTATATTGCCAATACGGAAGGCAGCGATACTTGCCGCCACTACCAAGAAGTGTTTGGCATTTTAAACGGAAAGGATCTTTCTTTAAAAGCTAAATATACAGGAATCAATTTTATTCAAAATATTAGAAAGCTGTTTACAATTGTGTTTCAAACGGTTGGACCCGCCGCTGATGCTAGAATAATTTTAGTTAATCCTAAACTTCTTCCAGAAGTTCAGTCCTACCAGCCACCGCAGTATTTAAATTTGGACAACTCAATTGCTTTGGTTACTCAAGAAGTGCGTCAGAAAATATTTTTTAAAATTTTTAACGATGAAGAATTTAGTATTCGAGGCAATGCTACTTGTATGGATCCTGCTCTTCCTTTACCAACTGATTCACTTAGTTTAGATCCGATCCCACCCGCTATTACCCCAAAACGTAGAAATTCAGAGAAACCTTCAGGGTCTTCATCCAAAAGATCTAGAGGTTCTAGATCTGCGAAGAAAGCAGATCTTTCTTTGAGTACTTTAGGAGATTCTATAGGCAAGGAAGATCTTCCTGGTGACTTAAATTATTTTGATATAGAAGAGAGGGACGACGAGATTCCCACTCCCAAGGCTCGAAAAGTGTGGACTGAGCAGGAAGTTAGCTACTTAATTGACGGCGTAAAGGCTAATGGCGTTGGAAAATGGACGCAGATTGAAGCCGCCATCAAAAATCTTGTTCCTAATTTTGATCGTACTCGTGTGGATTTAAAGGATAAATGGAGAAATATGGTTAAAAAAAAGGATCCATGTGTGATGGAAGTTTTGGAGCATTTTAAAACTATTGGCACTGATCCTGCGTTAGCAGCGACAGCAGCTGCCAATACTAATAATCCCTTTTTGTATGTGCCCGGCGCTGAAGAACAAATTTTTAGAGCTTCTTATAAAAAAAAGTGGAATAAGAATAAAAGAGAATTGAATGTTAACAGTTTATTGAATTCGGAAGTTTTTGAGGAGAATTTTACGGATCACGAATTGCCAGTGTCCGGTGATGCTATTCGCGAATATTTAAATGCTAGTCAAGATCAGTCGCTTTTGGAAAAAAGTAATCCATCCGAACATAACCAACTGCCTCCTATGCTGGATCAAAATGATGACCTCGGAAAAGATCTTTCTTATGACTGTAATGTCGTTGGGCCTGCTTGTTAGGAGCTTTTGAATTTTTTAAATTGTTTTATTATGTTTATACTAAATCTAACTTTTTCTAATAATTATTATACTTTACAGGTATATTATTTTATATATTATAACTAAATTTTATCCAAAGATAGTTATATCAGGACATGTTAGTAGTTATACTTTTTTTCGTATATTATGTTTTATAATAACTTTTGCAGATACGAGGGTTTTTCAAGTTTATATTTTATTCCATTTTTTAATATTTGTTTAGCGTGTCGCTAATTTTTTCTTTTAGCTCAAAAGTCCGTACGATTAGAGGACTACTTAAAAATTACTTTAATTATTTAAACGCTGATTAATAAATTTGAAGATTTTTGGACAAACCCTTATTTATAGTTTAGGAAAGCACAAATAATGATTTTTTAATTGACAGAAGTTAAGAAAGGTTAATGTAACATTTTAAACCGATATTTTTAAGCTATGAATAAATATATGTTAAGATGCTCTATATAAAACTTAAAATATCGATTAACATTGAATTAAAGAAAATACTAATATATTTTTCTTTAAATTTTTAAATAATTTTAATGTATCGTTAGCGGGTACTCTAATACTTTTTACTTAAAACGAGTAGATAGGGAATAGTGTAGATGAATTTAACGATAAAAGTAACCACACTAATTTATTAATTACCTGCATGATTAATTGCAGAAACTTGCTTATATTGACTAAGTGAAGTGGCGTTGTTTCCGTTTAATTCTAAAATTAAGTAGCATTGGGAAGTATTTAAGTCAAGTCCTAACACGTCGATATCGTTATACAACATTGAACATCTTTTCGAACTTTTGGTTAATTTCTAAGTTAAAACCGCTTTTAGTTAGTTAATAGACCAAGAAAGTTAAATAAAAAACTTTAAAAATTATTTTTGCACTGCATATCTATATGTAGCACAATATATTAAATGTAAAAGTAAATAAATAATTAAAACTGCTTAATAGGTTTAAGTAATATTTAACGTGTTACATCGCATTATTTTATATATCAAGCAATGTTTTAAAAACTGCATGAAGTACTAAGTTATATTCACCTTGTTACACTGCATTCTTCTTTATATAAAGCACTTTATTATTTTTGAAAGTAATTTAACATATAAAGCTGCTTAAAGGATTAAGAAATATATAACCTACTACAATAAAACCTTCGTATAAAGCACTATTGTTTTTAAAAGTAATTTGATACTTGAAACTGCTTTAAGAGTAATTAATCAAAAAAAATGTGTGAATTTAAAATTTTCAGTAACGTTTATAAAATTTTATGGTAAATTAAAAAGAAAATTATTTTTCCGCGAAAGCCACAATTTTTATTCAAAGAAATAGTATACTTAATTCCGCCATCCCACAAGTATTTAATTACATTATCCTATATAAAGACGTATACCTAATTTACATCACATTACTCTTGCGTACAAAAACTCAGTACATAATATTTTTTAACTGACTATGCATCACGCAGGAAATTACTTTAAAGTTATTACTTACTGCTCATATTTTTTAAAAACTTTCTTTTCTCCGCAAGTTATCTTTATTGGATAAGCAAAGTTATTAGTAAAATGCTAAATATGGCGTCCTTACTCAGAAACTAAAACTGCCCTTTTAGAATTTAATGTTCATTGTCCAAAATGACGACTTCTTCTTTACTCTCGCAGAATTCATAAACTTTTAGTATTCATTCCCACGAATTTGCAGACTCCTTTTACTAATAATAAAACCAAATAATTCAATGGAACCTCCTAGCAACCTCTGTTTGACTGAAGTAACTTATAGAATATGCAACCGTTACACTTAACTTTATTGTATTAATGGATTTATAGGATCCATGTAAAGATGAACCTAATTTTGAAGTTGTCTACAACTCTGTTAAGGAGGCTATTAGTATGGGGATTCATCCTGTAAGAATAAGCCAAGGGAGTAGTGGTAGCTACTTTGTTCGTAATTCTCGATATGAGGTTTGTTACGAGAACAAAAATGATTGTAATTAAAATATAAAAGTTTATTTAAAATTATTTTATTTTTAATAAAGATTGTCGGAGTTTTCAAACCACGGGACGAGGAGCCTTACGCTATCTTTAATCCCAAGTGGATTAAATGGCTCCACCGAACTATTTGTCCTTGTCTCTTCGGGAGACCTTGTTTATTTCCGAATCAGGTTCTACCATTTTTCTTGGATCATTATTAATATATATATATATAAGTAATAATTTAGAGTATAATTACAACTTCTAAAAAATTAAGTACTTTAATTATTTTTTAATTTTTTTGTTTTTATATTACAATTGTTATAAAGTTTTTAATTACTTTGCCTAATTTACTATTAATAAAATTAATCGTCTTAAATTTCTGAAATTAAATTTTCTCAAAGGGTTACCTATCTGAAGCAGGCGCTAGTATCGTTGACAGGCACTTAAAATTAAACATCGTACCAGTGACTAAAGTAATTTATTTTTGCAAAAGTCACGCGCTGAAGTTTTTAATATAATTTAAAATAATTGTTTATAAATTATAATAGTAACTAATTTTTTATTTTATTATTATATTTATCTTTTCCCAAATACTTTTTTCATAATTTTTTATAGGTAATTAATTTCTTCAATTTTCTTTTATTTATAAATTTTTATTTTTTGTTATAGAAAATTTAAAAATATAGAAGTTTTTAGTTTTTTATCATTTATTACTTTAATTTTTTATTATTAATGATATTAGAAAAATTAATAGATTTTTTAAAGTATATTTCTATATACAACTTAAGATTTACTAATCACACACTTTTAAGATTTTTTTTTTGAAAATTATGTTATTTGGTATTGTAATTTTAATTTTTAAATTAATTTTTTTTGTACTTTTAAATTCTTAATTTTTATGTTAATTTTTATATTTTTTATAAGTTATGAATTTAATTTTTATTTAAAAAAGGAATTTTTTAATTTTTAATTAATTAAAGTTTTTTATTCTTTATTATTTATAGAATTTATAAAAGATTTGTTAAAGTTTTTTATTTTATACCAATAAAAAAGCTTTTTATTAAGTTTAATAAATTTTAGAATCACCATAAAATTAACCTTTTATTATTTTAATTTATAATTTTTATTTTTATTTTTTAAATATTATAATTTTATATGTGTTCTTACTATTATAACTTTTTATTATAACTTTAAATTTACTTTAAAATTTTCTCTATTGTTTTTCTATTTACTTTATATAATTATTTATATTAAATTCTTAATTTCCTTTTTATATTTCAAGTTTTAAATTTTTTTTTTATAATAATAATATTTATAAGTTAGTAATAAATATTTAATGTATAATAATTATAGTTATTAATTTTTTAATAAAAATAATGAATATATTTTTTAGTTATAAAAAAGAAAAAGTAAATAAGTTTGTTATTTCTTTTTAATATTTCTATAATTTTATATTTTTATTTACTTTTTTAATTTTTGTTAATTAAAAAAATATATTAATAAATTATTATTTTTTATAATAATTTTATAAATACGAATGTTTTTAATAAAAAAAAATTTTTTAATTAATATTTTTGTTATATCAAATAATACAAATATTATATTTTTACTAAACATATAATAATTTAATATTATTTAGAACTTTTTTTTATTTATATATTATTTGTTTATACTTATTCTTAATCACTTTTTGTAAGCATTGTACTACTAATTTTTTAATTAAATATAATCATACTAAAATATTAAATAGTTAATAAAACATTTTGTTATTTAATACTACATTAAATTCTTATTGATTTATTATTGTTTACACTTTTTCTTAATAATTTTATATTTATTTGTTTAATGTTAATATTATTTTATTTAAAATATTTTTTTTTGTATAACAGTATTTAAATATTATATCCTTACAAAACATTTATATAATGAATATTATTAAAAAAAATTTTGTCCATAAAATTTATTATTTATTTACACTTTTTAAATATATAAAAATTATTAAAGAAATATTATTTTTATAATTTATTATTATTATTATTTATTTTTTTAAATATTTTATTTAAAAAAAATTTATTTATCATAATATTCAAATATTATATTTTTATAAAACTTTTATTTAATACTTAATATACTATGTTTAGTGAATATTATTTATAATAAAATAGATTTTATATTTACTTTATATATATTTTTTATTTATTTAACTTTTTGTTATATTTTTTAATAATATATTTTGGAAAGAAAAATATAAAAAATTTAAAGTAATTTTATAATAATTAGTACTTTTTTCTTTTTTATTATGACTTAACGTTTTTTATGATAATAATACTTTATTTTCTTCAAACTTTTTTTCTATAATACTTGTTAATCTTTTTATTGTTATGAATTATTTCTATATTTATTTCCAAAGTTATTATAATTCTTTTATTTAATATTTTTCTTGAATTTATGGAATTTATTATTATTTTTTTTTAGTATTATTACTATTATAATTATACTAGATTGTTGAATTCTCCAGCACGAGTTTTAATTACGGCTGTAAATATAAATATTTTTATAAAAATGTAAAACTTCCAGAGAAAGTCGGTTCTTTACAGCTCTACGTTAAGTTTATATATTATTATTATTATCAACATCTTTTATTTGATAAAGATTTTATTAAACTCAAAAATATTTTTATTTATATACTATATATTAGTTTTTTGGTTATCCTGTATAAGTTACTATTAAAAATATTAATATTAATATTAATATTACTATTATTATAATTATACTCTACCTAAAGATTTTTGAACCTTTTATATTTTTATTATTATTTTTAATATCTTATAATTACACGATATGAAAACTTTAAAAGTTATTATAAAACTCGCACGACTATTATTTTTTATATACGAATGCAAAATTTATATGAACTTATTTATATTTATTTTTTCTTTCTATTGTAATAGTATGTTTTACTTTTGTTTATTAATTTTTTTTTACTACTAAAAATTATATTTATTATACTAAAATAAAATATTCGTTAAAAAAAAATCTAAAAAAAAATTGTTATTAAACGTAAAGCGGATTTTTTTTATAGTTTTTTTATAATGTTTTTAATATAAAAAATTATGATAATTTTTTATAAAAAAACTTTATTTACTTTGAAAATTGTAATGTTTTATTATTTTAGAGTTTGAATATTTTTTTTGTGATTTGGAAAAAATTAATGAAATTTATAGAAAAAAAGTTATTTATCTTATAAAAAAATGTAATATACTGAACTTTTTTAATGAATACTATTTTAAAAGTCTTTTTTATTTTTTTTTATAATTTTTTTTGTTTTTATCTAAAGAAAATTGCAGTTCTCATTATAATTTCTACGAAATTTTTAAGGTTTTTGTAAAAGTATTTTAATAAATAATTGTACTATATTGTATATTCTTAGCAAACTTCATTTCAATAAGTTTTTTACTTTACTTTTTATATGATTTTTTGTCATCTTGATTTTAGAGGATTTTTTTTTATTTCTATAAAATTTGTGAAATTTATGTAAAAATTTTTTGAATAATAATAAAAAACTGTATTTTATTGTATTTTTTATAATGAATTTGTTTAAGTTTAAAAATTTTTAAAAAAAAACTTTATAATTTCTATAAAATTTGTGGAATTTATGTAAAGGTATTTTTTTTTAGTAAAAAATGTAACTATATTGTATTATTAATACTGAATGTTATTTTAGTGAAAAGGTTTTATTTTATTTTATTTTGTTTATAAAAACTTTTTATTAAGTTATTAATTTTAATGGAATTTTTTATTACCAATAAAATAAGTGAAAGTTATATAAAAGTATTTTGTTATAAAAAACTGTAGTAAATTGTATTATTTTTTGTGAATATTATTATAGGCAAGAGTTTTTAATTTATTTATAAATTCTTAGTTATAATTTTAATGAAATTTTTTGTAATTTCTATAAAATTTTGAAAGTTATATAAAGTTATCTTGTTTGTAATAATATTGTATTATATTTTTTAATGGATATTATTTTAGTTGAAAGTTTTTTATAATAAACTTTTTTTACATAAATAAGAGTAATACTTAAAAATTATTTTAAAATTTTTATTCTTATAATATTTTATTATAATTGCCTTATATTATAATTTAAATCTTAATAGTAATTATTGAAATTTATTTTATGATTATTCTTTTTTATGAAATAATAATATATAAAAAACTATTATACAACTTATAAGTAAAAGTTTTTTTGCTTTTTGCTTTGAATAATTTTAAAAAATTTATACACAAATAAATTATAATAAATTTTTTATATATAATTAAATAATCAGTAATCATTTTATATATATATATTATGTTTTTTTGCTTGTTTGTTGTTTTGAAAATTTTATAAAAGATTTTCATTTTCATTTAAATATTAAAATAAATATTAAAATTTGTAATTAAATAATAAATTTTATTAATAAATTATAATTATTAGAAAATTTTTTTTATAATTTTATATTTCATAATATTTTTATTTTTATTGTATCTTGCTTTAAAAATTTATAAACGATTTTCATTATTATTTAAATATTTAAAATATTTATTATATAGTAACATTTTATTAATATTGTAAATACGAAAAAATTATAATTAATTTTTTTATTTTATAATATTTTTATTATGAATTTACTTTGCTTTTAAAATTTTATATACAATATTTTTAATAATTTGAATTTTCTAAATAATTATTATAATTTATTATTATATAATAATTTATTAGATTAAATTATTAAAAAAAAATATTATTCAATTTATTTATTTTAATTCTATTTTGCCTAAGAAATTTTATATATGATTTTCATTTTTATATCAATTTATAAATAATTATTATAATTTTTTAATTTAGAGTTATATAATTTTTATGATAAATTTATAAAATAATTTTATTTTAATTATTATACCTTTAAATTATAATATTTAAGTACTTAAGTTTAAAAATAAAATTGCTTTATAATAGATTTAACGTAAATATGTATATATTCACTAAAATTATAAAACCAGAAAGATTAAAAATTATATATTATTAAAATATTTAATAAAATTAAAAAAATTGAAGTATTTTATAATTAAAATATTGAATTTTTAATAGAACAATAATTTTTTAAGGTACTTTTTTTAATATATTTATTGACGATGTATGTTTTATTATATAATTAATATATTTTAATAAATAATAATCATTACTATTACTTTAAGAAATTTTATTGTAAATAATAATAATAAAAATGTTTTATTGAATTTTTTTTAATGTAAAAACATTTTTATAAAAAATCTTGGCTTTAGGAAATTTATTATACATTATTCTTTAAAAAAAATATTATTAGATTTTTTGTTAATGGTAATATTTTTATTATGAAAGTATTCTGGTTTAAGCAATTTTGTTAAAAATAATTATATTAATTTTGTTGAATTTTTTCTATATAATATTTTTATTTTAATTATTTTTTGCTTAAAAAATTTTAATTATATATTATATTTTATTTAAATTTTAAAAATAAATAGTTATAATAAATGCATTGATAAATTTAAAAATTATAAAAAAATAATAAATTTTTTCATATATTATTTTTATTATAATTCTACTTTGCTTTGAAATATTTTATTATTTTTAATTTTTTTCAGAAATAATCTTGAAAAAATTATTGAATTAAAATTATGATTTAATTTTATATTTGTTTGTCAAAAGGAAAAATTATTAGAAATTATAAATTATATAATTACATTAAAAGTTATTATTGAATATTAATTTATATTATTTTTTTATTTTTTATATTAACTTTATTAAAAATTTCAACCAGTTTACATATATTTTAGTATATTTTATATTTTATATAATTATCATTATATTATAGTGGTATTTTGCCCTGAATTATTGCAATAATTGCATGCTACGTTTTAGAATAATCCTGAACATTCCATATATACCAGTTTGCATATCTCCTGATACAACATACATGAAAGTTTTCACCATGTGCTCTGAAAAAACCCCAAAATTTAAGACCGCCTTTTCAGTGGTCCACCTTTTAATAGTGCGCTATTTTTATTAATTCCGTGCTAAGCATGTCGCGTGCTGAAAGAAACCACTACATAACCACGCTATAGGACCAACTTTATAATCTATTTATCGCTTTCAACGTCCTTGGGCATGATTTCGCTACTGCAGTATTTATTAATAACCAACAGTCTATTTAAAATTATAGTAAAAATTTTATTATTATTCAACAATTAATTTATTATTATGAAATATAAAATTTTATTTTATTGTAAAAATTATTATTATATGATTATTATTACATATTCTTATTGAATTTTATTAAATTATAAAAGAAGTTTTCTTTTTAGATTCTATTATTATAAATGTATATAAAATTTTTATTGGATTTAAAAAAAAATTAATTTTATAGTTTATTATGATGAAAAAGTAATTTAAGTTTTAAAATTTTTATATATTTTATTATTAATAATACGAAAAAATAACTTTTAATGGATTTTATATAAAAAATTAATTATATTATATTATTGTAATTAAAAATTTTATTTACTTTTTTTGACTTAAAAAAAAATTAATATTATATTATTAAAGAAAAAAATTATTTTAAGTTTTGTTTTATTCTTAAGAAAATGAAATTATTAGTTATTAGATTTATAATAAAGTTATTTTTATAATTTATTATTACTACTATTAAAAATTATTAAATCTTATTTTTATAATGAAATTATTAATTTTAGTTTATTATGAAAATTTATAAACTTTAATGAAATTTATAACAAAAATTAATTATATCATATTTTATTTAAAAAAAATATTTATATACTTTATTATACTTCAAAAAACGAAATGACTAATATCTTTTATTATATTTATATTTTATTATTATTCCTCTATATTATTATTATAATAAAAATAATTTATTTTATATTTTATTACCACCAAAATATATTCTTTTATTAAAATTTAATAAAAATAATAATTATTTTACAATTTGTTAATATAAACTTTTATTTACCTCTATTTCCTTTAAAATAAATTTTATTATGATTTATAATTAAAATATATTTCATATTTTAATATAATTTTTATAAAAATTCAGAAAATAATATTGTTATCAAAAAAATTTATTAATTTTTAATAATTTTTTATTGTATATGATTATTATAAAATATAATAATTTTTTTTAAATTGAAATGAAATTATTAAAATTATATATTTTTTTTATTAAAAAGAAAATTGTTTGCTTTTAGTGCTATTTTCATATTTAGTAATTTTTAAAGGTAATTTAATTATTAATAATTTAATTTGATTTAATATATTAAATATTTTTGAACTTTAGTATTATAAATACTAAGTTTTTCCTTCGGTTTCTTTTTTAATATATTATTTACTTTTTGGTGCACTTTTTTTTTAAATATTTAAATAACTTCTCTTTATTTTATATATATTTTAAATTTTTTTATTATTTATTACTACTACTATCTAAAAGAAGTTAGGTCAATTTATTTTACTTATTGTTACTCTTTATTTTATATTGTTTTTAGTAAAAATTATTATATTTTTAAAGTTCTTACATAATTTAGATGAAAGACTATATTGAAGCGTCAGCACTTCATACGGATTTTTCTTTGAATACTTCATTGAAAGCGCAGTTTATAGAGGAGTTTCAAAAACTTACAATTCTGGATTATATAATAAGAAATACTGGTTTATTATAATAATGATTATAATAGCATGAAAAAAAGTCTAAGCAATTATAATAATAATAGTAATATCATTATTATTATTAATAATCTTTATTTTTATGGTAAACAATGAATGGTTATTTTTATATTAAGATCGTGGCAATGATAATTGGCTAGTGAAGATTTATGAAGAACCGGAAGTTCTTAATAATAATGATCATAATGATAACGATAATAATAATAATAATAATAATAATACAAACACTAAAGCTTGCCAGTTTGTACGTATAGCGGCCATTGATAACGGTCTTTCATTTCCTTATAAACATCCGGGTTCGTGGAGGAAGTGTATAACTATTATTATTATTATTATTATTATTATTATTATTATTATTATTATTATTATTATTATTATTATTATTATTATTATTATTATTATTATTATTATTATTATTATTATTATTATTATTATTATTATTATTATTATTATTACCATTATTATTACTATTACTATTACTACTGCTATCCTCAAAAGCTTTTAATAGACTTTACATCTAATATTTTTTATATTAAATTGTACCTATTATTAATATTTATTCTTTTTAATTATTATAACAAAAAAACTTCACAACTTTTATATTTTTTATATTATCAATTTTTATGTATTATCGTTTAAAATAAAATTATCATTATATTTTATATATTATAAATCATTGTTTTTATATGTAGACTAATAATACTTTTTTTTCTTCTTATTATTATTAAACCTTTTTTACAACTTTTAGGTATTTTTTAAATGTAATATTGTATAGATCGACATTAAAGTATTGAAGTTTTCATTGTTTTGTTATCTTAATTGTTTTTTATTTATACTGATTATATTTTTTATGATTATTTTTATTTTTTTGCTTATCATTATATTATTTTTATCATAATTAATAAAAGGTTATTAAAAACTTTTTTATTGATATTACTCATATTGCTTATAACAATAATATTATTTTATTATATTTATTAATAATATTATTATTACTTTATTATTATTATCAGATCCCTTTCACTGGGTTTGGTTATCATATGCAAAAACTCCATACACTGAAACTATTATTAGTAAAATCCTCCCGCTTATAAAGAATAATGTCAAGTTTATTATTATTATTATTATTATTATTATTATTATTATTATTATTATTATTATTATTATTATTATTATTATTATTATTATTATTATTATTATTATTATTATTATTATTATTATTATTATTATTATTATTATTATTATTATTACTATTATTATTATATTTGTTATTTTACGTATTTCCATGTATGAGTATTTTTTTTTATTTCTTTCTATTTTCTATTAATTTTATTACTACAATTACTTTAATAAAAAGTTTTATTATCACTATTAATTGTATTTATTTTTAATTTTAAAAACTTATGATTGTTATATTTATTATTTGAATATATTTAATAGAATGTAATTAAAACAATGCAAAACGAACTTTTGGAGCTGTTCTGCCAAGAAAAAGCTTTCACTCTTCAAGGATTCATAAAGCAGATGTCGATTATGCACGGACAAATAATAAACCTCATTGGTGCTTAATAACTGCATCTTTTGCTTTATACTGTTTCTAATCGGCTCTTTTAGTTTGTTGGTCAATTATTAATTTTCATTAATTCTTTATTTTTTAGAGGTATTGGAAAAAAAATTATCTCCTTTTGATTTGGTGATGATGCCGCCGCCAAAATGTAGAACATTAAGTAATTCTTTTGACTCCCCACTCTCCAATTGATTCGCATTAATAAAAAAAAACTCTCATTATTATTTAAAATGAAAATAGTTGCAAAACAATTTGCTAATTTTAAATTTTTATTGTCGGGGCGAAACTATAAATTTATAATAACAATCCAAAAAAGTGTTTGTATTAAAATACTTTGATAAATTTTAAAAAGAAAAAATTTGCAAATTTGCAAATTATCGCTGGGTTTAAAATTATTATCAACTGCTTTATAAATTTGATATAGTTTAATAAGAAAAATTAAAAAACTTATAAATTTCAAAAGTTAAATTTGAATTGGTATTAAATCACGTTATGAAATTAATGTCAATTCGTATGTTTATGCAGAAGTGCATTATAAAATCATAAAGATGAAGAAACTTTGCACTTCGTAAACGCAAAACTTAATTTTTCCTACCAAATCTTTATATATTATGCTCAACTCATTGTTGTTGAAGTGTATCGGAAAAAAAAAACTTGCAAAATTATAATCGCTTTTCTCAGAGTTCCATCTAAAAAGTTAAGAAAATTAAAATAGTGAAAAGTCAACCGCTAAATTCAACTTTTTCTTTTAAGGTTATATATATTTTAATCTCAACTCAATTTGGTTTATGACATGCAGTTAAAAATCTGAATAAATGAAAAAACTTAAAAAATATAATAGCTACGTTTAAAAATTTAAAAAAAAAAAAATAGATCAGATCCTAAGATGTCAGTTAGATATTGTCAACCATTCTAGGTTTAAGGCACTTATTATATAAACTACTTCTTTTCTTTAAATAAAACTTTGCTTTTCTTTCAAGTTTTATCTAAATTGGCGGTGTTGGTAGAGCACAGCCCTTTGCGCTAGCAGTTTCCTGGACACAAGCCACTTTGTGTGCGGACAGTACAACCATTTTCTCTTCGTCGAAATCCATTAAGAAAGTTACAGAAACTCAAAAGTTTAGGATTAAATTACTAAGCCTTTTTTAATAAACAAAAACATAAAGATGACTTAGTGGTGGCTAAATATCTTGAAAGTACGCTTTTCTAGTTCTTGAAATTTTTTTTTAATCTGTCAAAAAAACAAATAAAAAAGAGGTAACGCGTTTACTTCGTTTCTAGCCTCTTTTTACTTTTATTTTTTCCTTTTTATCTCCTTATTTAAGTAAATAACTACTCGCACGTAAACGTTTAAAAAAGGTTACGAAAAGTCCAGAAGGTCACAATATCTATCTCACACCAAAGAACTTTTAAGTAGTCTTTTTAGACTTGCAAAATATACCATACAAAAATAAAATTAAAATATTGTTAATGAGATGCCCCGTAAGCTGACAACTAACTCGCTAGAACGACGAAGAGCTATAGTGAACTTGTTAATCGCAGCTCTACTATATGGTCTTCCAATTTTGTTAAATTTAAATAAAAAAAACCCAAGTGAAACTATATACACCGCCATAAGCAAAGCTTCCTCAAACATGCTGGCTACACAAGTTTTCTTTAACTTTAATAACTAGATAAGAAATTTATACCAATAATGAAGCCGTATGAGAGGCATATTGAATGGCGAAATCTTTAGTAAGCCTAAGAGATGCCTAAAAGATTTATTAATAAATCTTATTTTTTTTTTAAATAATTTTCCTTTTTTTCGAAATTTTTCTTAGTGGTAAGACTTTGTTAAAGAAGTTTGTAGTCCCCAACATGCACCAGTATTAAACTATTCTTTAACAGAATTTAATACTTGTTCAAAAACAATTAAGTAATTTAATATCTTTAAAAGTCTTTACAATGAAAAAGATTTTTTCGTAGGTAACTTAACATAAATAATCTTTTAAGGTATTTTTCTGATAAAATATATCTTTAATTTTTCAATGATCTCTTAAGCTCCTGAGTTGTTATAACGTTTTTGGCCACGTAAATGTTTTCTAAAAATTCTTTCAAACAATTTAAAAAAAACTCGTTTAAAGCTATTACTTTTTCTAAAAGTCAATAAATAAATGTTACTAAAAAGTTTATATACAAGTAAAAAATTAAAATATATAAATTTAGTTACAACACTTTACAAATATATCTGAATAAAGGTTTATACAATAATATGTAAACCATTAAATATAATTATAATTATATAGAAAAAGAAACAATCTAGTTATACAGTAACAAAAATAAAATAACTTTTGTATATATAAAAATTTACTTTTACTATATAAATAAAAAAAAGGACATATTTTTTAACTTGATAAAAATTATTAAAGATAGCAGTTAAAAAAATTACTTCAAATGTACAAAAACTGCTATTTATAATTTTTTTTTCCTTAAAAAATTTAAAAAAAATAAAGTAACGAAAAATTTTTTAACATTTCTAAAAACAAAGTTACTTTTATTATATATAAAAAAGAAACTTAAAAACTTTAAAAACCTCAGCAATTTATAATATTTTTTACTGTTTATAAAAATTATTAATAGAGAATGAAAATAGAATCATAATTACTTCCACTTTTTAAAATATAAAAAAACGGCTCCAAAATATTTTTTTAAATATTACATGAACGAAAAAATCTAAAAGTTTTTATAATAATTTTTTATTATAATTTATATAAATTACTTAAAAAATTAGTAAAAACTGAATTTATACCATTTTTTTTTTAATATACGAAAATGGCTCTTAAAATATTTTCCTTTAAAAATTACAAAAATGACAAAACTAGAAAGTTTTTATAATAATAATAACTTTTTATATAAAAAGATTTAGATTTATTATCTATTTATAAATATAAAAAAGCAGCTCTCAAAATTTCAATAACACAAATAATTACTGTTCATAAAAAATATTAACTGCTTCAGTAAATAAGTTTTTTAATTTATTTATAATTTAATATAAAAAAAACAGCTCTTGATATATTTTTTTAGTTTAACAATTTATAAAACATAAATTATTCTTCTCCAAATCCTTCAGTTTCCTCGATGGCGAAAAAAAGTTTCCTTTTAAGTTCTTCATAACTTTTATATTCCGGAATAGAAAGGCGGTTAAAGCTTATTATAGTACATTATAAAAATTTATATTAATAAAATAGTAGTAATATATAATAATAAATAATTTAATAGATATAAAAAATTATTTCCTATTTTATAAACATTTTGCATAAATATAATAAAGTAAAATAGATTAATAAACTCGTAGTAAAATATAATCATAATTAATTCAATAAGAAAAATTATTCTCTATACTTTACAAACTTTTTGTATAATAATAAGAAAGTATATTAAAATAATAAATTCGTAGAGAAAATAATGAAGACTACTATAATGAATTAATATAAACAATAGTTATTTTCTACATATTAAAAACTTTGTATTATTTTAATAAGGTAAAGAAAATTATAAAAACGTGGAAATAATAATAAATAATAAAATAAATAAATATGCAAAAGATTATATTCTAAATTTTACCATTTTTCCGTATTTAAGGAAAAGAAGTAAATAAATTCACAATATATATATAATATAGAAATAATAAAAAATATATTTTTTTAAAGTATCATAAAGTGTTAATTATTATATTATATGATGACCTATACGTAATTATAATAAATTAATAAAATTTAAAAAGTTTTTATTATAATATAGTTTAATTACTTAAATACTATTATAATTATTAAAAAGTCAAAAAAAAATTATTTACTTTATAAATTTTGCAGCTTTTCTAATATAATAATTATAAAAGTTTTAAAAATTTACGAACTTTTTAAAAAAACAATAATAAACGTAAATACAAAAATTAATAAATTTTTAATACTATATACATTATAATAATTAATTATTAAAATTTAAAGTACGCTGAACAAGAAAAATCTTAGATTTTTTTTAATTATATTAATACTACTACAAATATATATTACAAATGAATAAATGATTCATTATAAATTTACTGTTCACTAAAAAGTTTAATAATATTAATATTTTCATTTACCATGTGTGGCTTTGGGGAAGGTCAGTGTCACCAGGGATTTTTTCAAGGCAAAATAACTGAGGGCCACTGGACCCCTGAAGTCCACGAAAGCCACCGACTGGTACACGGCTGGTGCCTAAATTTGGTTATAATAATAAAAATTATTTTTTTGTGAATGAAAAAAAAATAGATAACAATATTGATAATGATGACATTAATAAATAAATATAGAAATAATTACAATAATAAATAAATAATAATAATATTATTAGTAAAATAATGATCACCGTGATTATAGTGATAATAATATATTTAATAAGAAAAATAATTAAACTGATTGAAAATGAAAAGTTAATAAATATTAAAGTGTAACAACAAGTTTTATACTATAAAAATAAAATAATAGATTGATAACATTTTATAAATATATATAAGATTAGTTTTACTTAAATAAAAATTATATTAACAATGATATATATATAAATAATAATAATTATAATAACAATTGTATTATATAATAAAATTAGTTAAATAATAATAAAAGAAAATAATAGTAATTTATAATAAAAATTATAATAATAATTATACTAAAAAAATTAGTTTTTTAGTAATATAAAAATAATTAATAATATCAGTTATAGTAGTAATTATTGCTAAATTATAATAAATAAAATAATTAATAATAATAATTAGACATACACAATTTAGTTTAAGAATAACTATAATAAAAAAAAATAGTTGATAAATATTATAAGTTACGAAATTACTTTTATAGTAATAATAACAAAATAATTAATAATAGTTGAACTAAAAATTAGTTTAAAAATAATATTAAACAATAAAAGTAATTGTATATAGAGAATAAAGTTTTTTGAAAATTTTATTTTTTTAGTAATAATAGAATAAATAATAATAACTATACAATATATATAAGCAATTTAATGATATAAACAAATAATTAAATAATTAATGATAGTAAAATAACATTAATACTAATAAAAAATTTGTTTTAAATAATAAAAAGTAAAAATATTATAATACCAATAAAAGTGAAATAAAATTTATAATAAAATAATATTATAAATAATTATAACAAACCTGTAATAAATTGTAACAGTCTTGCACGATGCTGAGTATCCATCTCACGCACAAACTTAAATGTAAAAAAAATGCTTATAAAATATATGTAATAAATATAGAAAAGAGTTCTAATAATAATTATTAAGAAAAAGTTAAATATAGTATAAATACTAATAGTAAAATAAATATCAATAAAAACAAAAAATGTAATAATAAAAAAAAATGCCTCAAAAAATAATAAAAATTGATATATCCAATAAGTTTTATAATTTTTTATTATTATATTTAAAACATTTTATTCGCCTTAAAAAAATATAAAAAAATTCATAAAAAATATTTATTTATAAACAGCCAAAAAGTTTTATAATTTTTTTTATTTTCTAAAACATTTTATTCAATTTAAAAAAAAATATATATATATGTAATTCTAAATTCATTAAATATAAATTTACCAAAAAGTTACTAAATCGCCACTTTCAAGTAAAAAACCTACCAATAATAAATACCGCCAATGTTTTATTAAAAATTCTAAATTGCAAGAATTTTTATGAAACCTCCATTTATTATGTATTAAAACGTCGTAAAAAATCATGAACTCTTTTATTAAAAGGCCCCCAACATAAAATTATAATTAGAAAATAAAAAATTTAAATTTTATTAAATATAAACTTAAAAAAAAAGTCAGTAATATTAAAATTCATTAAATATATAAACTCTACACGTCATTATTTTTTTTTACTTAACAAATAAAAACTGGCACCAATAAAACCAATACTTTTATGTATTTCGCTACATAATGTATTAACAACGGTTCCACAAAAATTATATACATTTATCTATTACTAAATTTAACTCAATAATTAATGAGGTGGCACCAACTTAAATAATCATTAAAATGCATGAACTATAAGCAAACTAATAATACTTTTTAAAGTTAGCAGATTTATTATCAGACATACACTTATAAAGAAGAAATACTTAGTAATAACCAGAAGTAGCGGCAGTGGCAGTTTATGGTAAAACAATAAAAACATGAAAATGCATACAAAACTTTTCGATAAAATTAAAATAAAATCAAAAATTCTACCACATACATATATAATCCGGAGCTAAAAAAAATTATAGGACTACAATCACCACAATAAAAAAGGCGGATAAATAAATTTTTTAAAAAATACCGCAAAAAAATATAATAAAAATATACTTCACTATTATTTAAAAAATAAATCCAACAAAGATTGTATGATATTCTTTTAAATAACCAATTCAATAAAAAGCGAGCCAAATTAAAAAAAACATTAAAAAATAGAAAATTTATATAAAAAATTCGTTTATAATATAAATTATGGCGCCAGTTATTAAAAAAAATCATTAAAATAACAAACGTCATAAAAAAATTAGGAACTATTATAAAAAAGAGACAGTAAAAATTATGGACTTTATACAAATAATCCTAACAGTTATAATAAGTGCGCCAATTGATAGAAACATTAAACATTTCAATAAAGAGCGCCAAAAAGAATTAAGGTATATAAGGTGCTTCCAACAAAGATACCTCCCAGAACCACTTGACTTGTGGAGAGTCCTCATTAAAATTCTTATAAACGCTGTTTTTTTTCCAATCATCCACTGATATCTCCACAATGCCGCAAATCAGCAATTCCAGTTCCTTTTCGTCAAACATTGAGATATACTCATGAGGGACAAAATCGTGGAAGCCCTTCAAAAAAGCTTCTGTCTGCAGCTTAACAGAGTCGTATATTCGCCATTGAACAATGAGTCTAAATCATCCATACAATTGCAGCTAACGTTATTAAGCTTAACATAGTATATACTCTGCATAAAGATGTTTATTCTCATCCGTTACTTCGACGGACGAACCGTTGGGGATTAGCTCGTGGGTTTTCAGCTCACCAAAAACTTTATAATCAATTGTAAAATATAAGCCCATTTCCAAGTCATCAATATCATTATCTCTACATAATAAGTAATAAATAATTAATAAATAATAAAAATATATAAACATAAAAAATATTACAGAATCCAACGCAAACTTTTATAATGAACGGGATCAATATGTTCAAGATCAGCAACAGTTAAAGGCTTGCCGAGTATAATTTTATAAAAAGGTAAAGTAAAACTGCAAGAGATGATTTTATTGTGAAAAAGCGCCAAGCCAATAACTTTTCCAACAAATGTAAAATACTATAATAATAATAATCATAGTAAGTAAAAAAAAAGAAAATAAAAAATTATATATATTTAGCATTCTTAACACTAAAAATGCTAATAAAATAGTGAAAAAGTGAAAAATATATTATAAAAATATAAATATTTTCGGTACGTGAATATGTTCAGGGTTAATCCCAGACTGCGGATTGATCACAATATTTGTGTGGCTATCATTGGAGTACTTAAAAAGAGCATAATTGGGATTGGTGAATTCTAAGGAGAGCAAATGAAACCATTCGCTGATTATATAAAAATAATTAAACTACATAAAAAATAGTGAAGCGAAAAAAAACCGGCTAACACCGCCATAGTCGAGCCCCTCTTCGCCAAGAAACTTAATAAGAAGACTGAACTTATAATATGACGAATCAAACTTTGTAAGAACTTCAAAAGAACTTTGAAAAACAGCATTTCGGTTAAAAAACAAAACAATTTCCCCCTAAAAAAATAAGGAAAAAATAATCAGGCTCGTAAGTATATAAAAAGAATTATATTTCCCCCTCTAAAAAAAATAAATCGCAATAAATAAAAAAAACTTGTGTTTTTCTTAAAAAAGAGAATAAAAAAAATAAAGGCTTGCAAGTATATAAAAAAGGAATGACAGTTCCTCCTTAATAAAAGTAATAAAGAAAAAAAAAATGGCAAGTAAATATAAAAATAACTTTTAAACCTTTAAAAAAAAGATAAAAAGAAACAAAGCGCCAATGAACAATCAAAAAGATTTATAATTAAAAGATAACAATAATAAACATATCATAAATAAATAATATCAAGATTAAACTTTCTCCCTTTAAACAATAATACCGCAAGTCAAAAAAGAATTATATTTCCTTGAACAGTAATATTAATGATAATAAACAAATCAGACAAATAATAAAATATAAACTTAGAGTAACTGGTAGAGGGCTCAGCTTGCTCCTTAGCGCAGTCACTTTTTGTTGGAAATCACGTTCATATTTAGGAATTTCTGGACAACTCTCCGGAAGATAGCTCAAACGGGGGTCTAAATAGTATAACATTTTTAAAAATAATTATCAACCAATAATAACTTTGCATTACCCTGATAGGATGTGATTCGTCTATTATGATCAATAAAAAAAACTCGCCCGTCCGGAGTTACGGATTGGGTCCATCCAGGTGGTAACGCGCGTCGAAGGCTGATAATATATAAGTTAATACAATAATATATAATATAATAAAAATAAAATAGTAGAAGTACGTAGAGGAGTTGGGATGCACCCACTGGGTAGTACGAGTATTGTGATTGACATAATATGGATGCCCATGGGGTGTGTGGCGCAATTCTGTTAAGTTTATAACCAAAAAATACACAGAATTTCAGGGTTTATAATGAAAAGTTATTACCCCAACCAGAAGGAAGAGACTCTTCAGATGAAGGAAGAAGTTCTTCTCTGTTGGTTTGGGGGGCTACAGTTCCTCCGGGTCTGGATTAACATAACTATATGGCATCCGATAAACTAAATAAGCAACAAAAAATATACCGGGTCCAAGTTGTTCGTTTAGAATTGTGGTCTATATAGTAAAGGCGTCCGGAAGGGGTCCGTCTTTCCTCCCAACTGTACATAATAATAATAAAAAAAGTCAATATTTTTTTTATAAAGTTTTGAAAATTTTTAAACTTTTTAAATAATTTAGTTGTTTGTTGATTAAAATTCTTTTATAATATTTTATAAATAGTCCTTAGAAAATTAATAATATAATTATTATCATTTTCTATAACTTTATTTCTAACTAATTATTAGTTAAAATAATAAAAAAAAGAACCCGGGAGGGAGTGGTCTACTGGTCACACTATTACTTGGTTCAACCGTGCGGTTATTATTTGGTTGATGAACTTTAAAAAGAGTTTCATTAGATTGCGACAAGGATGGTGTTGCTATAGGGGAATCCGAACTTAAGCGTAAGTTGGAAACAAGATGTTTAATCTCGTAAAAATAAAAAATGAAAAATGAGAAAATCTAAAAACTCTGGGAAGTTGAAAAAATCAATATGATTTCAGTAAAAAAGTAGTGAAAACTTTTATGTTTTTATAGAAAATAATAATTTCTTTATGATATATAGTTATTAAAAATTATAATAAAATTCTGTAAAAATTATGATCTAAAAACTCTAAAATGCTAAAAAGTAAATCTCCTAATGATTACATAATAAAAATAATATAAACTTTTAGAGTTAAATAATAATAAATTCTTTATAATAAATATTTTAATTAAAATATTTATTAAAAATTGATTATAAAATTCTGTAAAAGTTAATAAATAAATTAATTAATACTAAAAAAAATAAAATATAATTTAAGTACTTCAGGAAAAGGTTCCCACGAAGTAGTTTTTGTGTGGTGGTTTATATAATAAATACGGCCACGCGGATCTAATTTAAATTCATAACTTTTACACAAAATTATAAAAGCAAAAATTTAAAAAAAAGGAAAAAAAATATAAAACACAACCCAGGAGGAAACCCCGGTGAAGATCGCATTGTGGGATTGGTGATAAACATTTCGGAAGCTTAAAAAATTGTAAACGAGCTAAAAAAAACAATCATTGAAAATTTTTTTTTGGCAACCAGAAGTGAGAGTTGGTGTCGGTGAGCGAGAGTCAACAACCTCCGAATTAAATTTTTTCAAACACTATACCAAAAAATTAATTAAAAAAAAAATCGTAAACTGAAAATTAATAATTACCGTAACTTTTACTTTCAACTGAAACTTTTCATTGTTAGAACTAACAACTTTGTCTGTTTTATATTTAAAATATTTATTAACGCGTTCAACAAAATCAAAGGAATTTAATATTTTAATTAATATAAAATTTAAAATTTTTACAAATCTATTAAAATTTTCACAATTTAGTTACATTTTCCATGAGTGTTGTTTGGCAGTGGACCTGAGGCTACTACAGTACTAGAAAGATAGCTTCCTTCATAAATATTAAAATTGATCGCTTCAGATTCAGATCCAACTCTTTTATGAAAATAGTGTTCAAAAAAAAGGTTAAGAAAAAAAAATTTTATTGTATAAGAAAAATTATTTACAGCATAAAAGTTTCGTTCCAGTGTCCTTTATATTTCGACTTGGTCCGAATTGATTTATGTCTAGAGTTAATTTCGACGGAATAATAGCCATTCCGTGGGAGACCAACGATCTTTTTAACTAAAGAAAAAAACTTACAAAAAGAGGCTTTATATAAATTTAAACTTTGAACAAATCTACAAATTTTATTATTAAAACAAGTGCCTCAAAATATAACCAGAAGAGCAAATAAAAGTGCGTATCAAATATTTATAAAAATTTAAAGGTAAAATAAGAATTTTAATAATGAGAATAAGAACAATAAACCTTTTATAAAAAATACATCGCCCTGCAACCGGTAACGAGCGAGTACATCAAGGTACTCTATAAAAATTTATAAAATACAGTAGACCTTAAATATCCTATAAAAACTTTCTGTATGTAAAAAACCTAAAACTAATAAATTGAGAACAACCTCTAGGACTCATTAATTCGTTGTTTAAAATATTTTTACTAACGTGCCTCAACGTTCCCAACCACAACTTCTATAGAAAGAAACAAAAGTATTCAGGAACATCGCTCACATGCTTTACCTTTTATTTGGTAAATAAAGTCTCCAATAAAATACAATTTTGACAACTCCACCTGTAAAAAAATTTAGTTCTTAGCGTTTATCCCATTTTTATGATGCTAACCTTATGCGGAATTATCTTTATTTTTTTTTATATATTTACAGACTTTAAATTGAGTTATATAAAAAAAAACATAACAGTCTATTTATATTAAAAGTTGTCATCAAGATTTGTAACATGTTTAATTTCTTTATCATTTAAGTTATTAAAAAAAGAGTGTTAGTTTTTTTTATAGCTAATACCCCGATACATATTTTTCACAAAAAAATTAGTATGTAGCTTAAACACATTGAACTTTTCTAACTAAATATCTAGACCATTTAACTTTTTTTTACTTTGGGACCGGCCTATAGTCCATTTGGGAATTTATACGTTACACGTAAGCTGAACAAATTAAGTTTAGTTTATATATATTAACAACTTCCTCGGAAAGTGGACGCTTTAAAATTAGTATTTACTGTTTTAATAGTTATTTGAAGAAATAATAAAGGCATTTTTTACGCTAACATAATTAAAATTAGAAACAAGGAAAAATGTTTAATTTATTTAAATAATAAATAAAGTAAAAAAAATTTTTTTTTATGTTTAGTGCATTTTATAAACTTCCTAACATTCTAACAGAGGGTTTACTTATACATTTTGGAAACCGGTAAAAGCGGTTTATAAACTATACGCTATTATGTCATGAGAGCGACCGCCTTGCTTAATAAAAATAGGCCAGGGAATTCACTCTATAAGTATAACGTTCTTTAATTAAAGGCTCCGTAAACAAATTAATAAACATCAAAGCACTATTAAATTACAAATAAGATGGTGAGCAATAATGATATACATTTAAAAGTTTTTTTAACTCCGAAGCTGCAGTTGGATAAAAAAGCATTTCACGATTATTGTTGATAGATTATTTAAAAAATTCATATAGGACACGATTAAGTAAAACTTTAAAAAAAAAAATTTAACTATTTCTGGTTCTAGATAGAGAGTAAAAACTTGAAATACTCAAGCTCTCAGGTAGGTTAAGTTGCCTACGAAGTACGTTAAATTGCTTTTAAAATACATGTACTTGCGTTGGAAATTAGACCCCAAATTAGCCTAAGTTAATACCCTAGAGTGTACCACATAAGACAGCTTAATTGCTAAATTTATATTTTGGTTGGGGACGCTGCAGGAGTTAATGCAGCGTGAAAAAAAATACCTCTCGCTAGCGAGGTTAGTTCAGTTTTTGCAACCTTTCAATATATTGTTAAAACCTACTCGAGGAGAACGGCGGGTGCAGAGCAACTATGGTTAAGCAAAGGAACCCAACCTACCATATAAAGTTTTCCTCTAATGGGCAGGTCAAGAGCCCGTCATTGCAGCATATAAGTCCCTTAGCAAGTTTTAAAGATTTCTTATTCCAACGCTCTAGTATAAAGTTATTTAACTGTTTTAAGCAGAAACTTTCAACTTGAAGCCCGGCTCAGACGTACACGAAGAAGACCAGAATATTAGAAGAGTGTTAAGTATCGCCGTCTCATTCTAATAGACTAAACGTTACCAATTTTTCAAAATATGTAATTGAGAACATCCCCGAAATTTTCTTATATTTTATGTATAAAAGCAATACAAACCTAAATTTAAGCCACCCGCTATTTTTATTTCTTTGATTTATACTATTACATTGGAGGGGCAGCTTTTTTTTTTTTTTTTTTTCAAAAATAAATACGTGTTCTACTATGTCAGACTGAGAGGCTACTGCGTCGTGGAACGTCTTTGTCTAAAGTTAAACTGAACTTCACTCTTGGACCGGATGGCATTACCTAAGTAGCGTGAAACCGATATATCGTTTTGCTTTTGTAAACTTGAAATTTTTTTTATCTCAGCATCTTTACGTTGAAATAAAGGATAATAACCACCAAACTTTAAATACAATTACAAAAAATACATCCTACACACAACCATCTATATAACTTAAAAAAATCAACAATTTTAAACACAAGACTAACCTAATTATTTACACAGCTAAGCATAGTTTAAAATAAAACGCAATTTCAACTAACAATAATAATTCCTGTAAATATTTTTTTAAAAGTGTCCAATCACAAAGTAGAATTTTTCTCGACAGAAATGCTTAGTGTCAATTATAAAAAAATCTTTTTTAGTATAGATACAAGTTGTACGAAAAAGATAAAAAATTTGTTTTCCAGTATTTTGAAATATAAAATATGCGCTATTCTGCTTAATAGAGCGAATGCCAAGGTTTTGTTTTCTCTTGCATTTATTTTCCTTCTTTTCTGTTAGTTATAGCATTGCTACTGATATATTATTATTATATATAAAACTTGTATATATCATTAGTTGAAGCCAAGTTTTACAAATTATAATTTTCAAGTCAGTAAAATGCTTGATATCAGCGATTTCAAGGCTTAAATAACAAGTATTGACAGATAGCAAGGGTTAGTGCATGTTAAGATTTTTCTTTTACAGTTCAATATTTTTTATAGGAATGCACACATTTAGCTAAGCTTTCGGTGTTAAAAATTCTATCTGGTTTTTTACTTAAGTTTGAAAGACTAAAATAGGATAAACAAAAAGTTAAATAATATAAGGGAAACTCTGTAGAACAACTTAACTAAAGAATATACTAGCAAATTTAAAGTATCACTAGGTACTTCATTACTATCAATAAACTTTATAGTTACCCAAAGATGGAGTGCGTAATGGTGTAAAATTTTATTGGTGAATGTGTAGTGAGTGCATGTAATTTAGTGAAAGCTAGGTTTGTGTACATAAACTAATAAACGGCACAGCTTAAAAAATTTTTTTTTCTCTCGTTTAGAAGCATCGATTGGCCTGTTAAAATTAATAAAAAATATAGTATTGAACCTGTTCTGAATACTTTTATCATACTTTGTTTATAAAATGAGATAGTGGTAGTGCACAAACATAAAACATAATGAACAACTTATTGTAGAGGTGTCACGCAAAATTTGTATTTCCTAACTTCAGAAGCGCTCTAAAAAAGGAAATCCCTAATTAAAAACTTACGATTAAGAAAGATTGTGGAAAACTAAATTGTATATAAAGCTTCCCTTGCGCCGGCGTGTAATATATAATTTAGAGTATTCTCCTTTTAAATATAGTGTTATATTAAGTAATTAAGGCTGCCACTATAACGCTTGCCGTAATAAGCAAAAGATAACGCCTCAAGCCCCTCATTACTAGGATTGTAAGAAGTCTTGGTTAAAACTTTAATTTCTTGCAGATCAAAAAATTGAAACCACTGCGAACCTCAAGCATAACTTGTGTTATAAAACTTTCTTAACAAAATTTACTCACCTTACTACTACAGTGATTAAAAAAGTTTTGAGCTACAATACACAAAAGCATATACGTAAATGCCGAGCATATAATTAAATAGCAATTTGCTCGGTTCGTATAAGTGCCAAGCAAATTTTTTCAAGAGCAAATCGCTAATTCGTGTATTTATTTATACGGAAATCTTTCAATTCTACACTTACTTTTTATAATATGTTTTTTTTTAATAAATTGATTGAATTGAGAATATAGTTTTAAATTACGAACCGCAAAAACTTTTATATTAATGCCAAGCAGAATAATTTAAAAAAAAAGATTTCTGTAAATTAGTGCAACTCACTTTTTTATGTATTTTTTATACTAAATTAACTTCTAGTCACTCTGCTAAATAGTAAATCATTAACTTTTTTTCAGCTTTAGCACAAATTACCAAGCAGAATCGCTATTCCAATTCCTCGCATGAACATTGTCTTAAAAAAATTGAACTTCCTAAAAATAATAAAAAAACGCGGTAACAAATTATTTTCTCATCACAAACTTTATTAATACACTCGAAAAGAGTACACCACTCAAGTAGAATCGGACGTGCGATTATATAACGGCAGCGTTACTTCTCTAAAACGAAAAGATTTAATATTGCATGAAAAGACTTAATATTGCATATAAAAATATATACGCAGCAGAATCGGGGCGCTCCCACTGAGTAACGCGCGTAATATAATTGGCGTAATAAAGGCGACCGTCCGGAGTGTAGCGCGTTTCTAGATGATTATTATATAAATAAAAAATATTTAAGTTCAAAGTTCATAAAAAGTTGGCAACCCCAGCCAAAAGGAAGAGGCTCTTCAGTGAAAGGAGGAAGTTCCTCTCTACTTATTTGAGGATCTGCTCCTAAGAAGTTTATAACATTAGGTGTATAAAAAAAAACTTTTTAAGTTATAATATAAAAAAAATATGCTCTCAGTAGAAGTACGAAGAGGTTCCTCTGCGCTTGTCTGACTGGCTGTTTAGAATTTTTTTTATTATATAGAAAAAAGTAATGCAAAAGAAACTTTTTTTATTAATATTTATTTTATTAATATTTATTATATAAAATATAAAGTATATTAATATTAATAAACTTTTATGTATAAAAAGTATACCTCTCGCAGGAATAAGGGACTCTTCAGTTAAAGGTTCCTTTTTGCCAGTTTGAAAGGGAGTTTCTAAAAAGTTTATAAAATATAAATATAAATAATATACTTTCTAATAAGAATATTTTAAGTTTATTTGATATTAAAATATATAATATAATTTACAAAAAAAGAAAAATATAACTACTAATAAAATTAAAAAAAATAAAAATATAATAAAATATAATTAAAAAATTTAAATAAAAAATTTGACATAATAATAAAAGTAAAAAATAATAAACTTTTACTATAAAATAAATTAATTGAAAAGATTAGAGATCTATTAAAAATGATTTTTCTTAACCACGTGCATAAGTAAGAGGCTCTTCTCGTCTTTGAGGAGAAGTTTCTAATAAGTTTATAGTAAAATAACATAAAAAATAATTATATATATATAACAGAAAAGTACCACGTGCATAAGTAAGAGGCTCTTCTCGTCTTTGAGAAGAAGTTTCTAATAAGTTTATAGTAAAATAACATAAAAAATACTTATATATATATAACAGAAAAGTACCACGTGCATAAGTGAGGGGCTCTTCTTTGCTTAAAGGAACCGTTTCTAGGAAGTTTAGAGTAAAATCACATATAAAAAGCTCCGGCGTATATAATGATAAAAGTACCCCAAACAGGATAAGGAGTACCCATTGTAGAGCGAGTATAGTCTTCTCTATTGGCTTGAGGAACTTCTTCTTAATGAGTTTCATAATAAATAATATGTACTATAGTCCCAAGTTTTCAAGGAAAAGTTACCCCAAACAGGAGTAGGCACGCCAGCAAGATAGCGAGGAAGTTCTTCTCTGCAGGTTGAGGATATTACAGCGCCTTCTGGTCTGAAGTAACATAATATTTCGCATCCGATAAACTAAATAGGAAGAAAAAAGATACCGGGTCCAAGTTGTTCGTTTAGAATTGTGGTCTATATAGTAAGGGCGCCCGGAAGGAGCTCGCCTTTCTTCCCAACTGTACAAATAAGTAAAATATTTTATTACTACATAACTTTATTTTTTTAAATTATTAAAAATAATATTCCTCGTTACTACCAAAAAGCGGATAATTTTAATATAAAAAACTTTTATATACCACTAGTTTTGCAAATGTGTAAAACTAAATAAAAATTCTTAAAACTGCACGGATATGAAAAATATATAAAATATTACAAAATATAAAACTTTTTTTTAGCAAATTTATAATTTAAAAAAAAAAACCCAGGAGGGAGTGAATGAGCAAATTGATTATTATAAGGTAAGACTGTGGAACTACGGGTTGATTGGAAAGCTTGATTATAAGACCCGCTGCGATTGGGTAATGGTAAGGAGTCTGAGCTTATAAACAAGTTTGAAACGGCCTGTTTTATCTCGTGAAAAAAAAATTTATTAGTAAATAAATAAAGTTACAAGAAATTATCTATAAATATATAAAAAATTAAAACTTTCATTTATAATAAAAATAATTAAAAATTCTTCATGTTCAAGATTTCTAAAATATTTAAAAATAATAGTAATAAAAATAATAATAAAAATTTTTTAAAAATTGTTTTTTTAATAAATTAGTAAATTATAAAGTGTAAGACTTTAAGAAAATATTTTAAAAAAACTTTTACGATTACACAATAATTATTGGATTATAATTAAAAAAACAAAAAAAGTTCTAATTAAGATAAATTAATACTAGATTAAAAAATATCAAATTAATGATATGAATTTCAAATGGAAATACTTAAATAAAATTAGTAATAATAAATAATATTATAAGTAAATGATATTTTAAGTACTTCAGGAAAAGGCTCCCACGAGGTGGTTTGCGCGTGATGGTTTATATAATAAATACGGCCGTTCGATGCTATTTTATATTCGTAACTTTTATACAAAATTAAAAATTAAAATTTATAAAAAAAAATAGAAATCAGTTAAAACTTAATAAAAATTGGAAAGTGAAATTTATAAATATGAATAAAAGAAATCGATTAAAACTTAATAAAAATAAAAAAATTAGATAAGTGAAAAATTTATAATATAAATGAAAATTAGTAAAAAAAAAAGTAGAATTAAAAAATCAGTTAAAACATATAAAATTAAAATTATTATTAATAATAATAAAAAATAAAACAGTTAAATCTTCATAAAGTAGAAAATTAAAATTTTATAATAAAAAAATAAAATAAAAAAAATTTAAAACTTTAAAAAATAAAATTAATAAAAAATATTAAAAAACAGTTAAAATTTATATTAATTTTTGCAAAGTTCAACTATAAATTTGTAAAATAAATTTAACAAAATAAAATAATTTTTCATAATTTATTTAAAAACTTTAAAATTTAATATAAAAAGTATAAAACTACATAATAAAAATAATAAAACAACTAAATTTTTATAATTATAAGTTATTTTAAAAATAAAAAAAAAGAAATATTTTGATTAGAAAACATTAAATAACAATAAAAATTAAAAATAAAAGTCTACGAATTTTTGTTAAAAAAAGGAAAAGTACAACTTTATATACTTTAAATATACAAAAGCACCATAATTTATTCGAAATATCAAAATATAAAATTTTATAATATAATAATTAAAAGTATAAAATTATAAGAAAAAATAATTTTAAAAAAGATGAAATTAATATTTCATATAAAAATAAAAATAAAAAATTAATTTAAATATCATGTAGAAAATAAAAAAAGGTACCCAAGGGGAAATCCCGGTGAAGATTTCGTAATTAAATTTACTTTAGGAGATTCACACGCTTAGCAGAAGTAAACTAAAAAAGTGTATAAAATCTAATTTATAAAATTAAAATCTTACGAATAGTGGAAAGAGAGCGGGAGGGAACGGTGGAAGGAGAAATGCTTTTCAATAACTAAAGATAAAAAAACAAACATTAAATTTATATTAAAAACAAAAAAAAATTTAGGTACCGTGACTTTCACTTTTATTTGAAGATCAGGATTCAATGTGTTTAAAGTTTTGACTTTTTTATTTATATAAAAAAAGTAAGAAAACAATTAATTATAGCCTTAATTAAAAAAATTATTTTTAAAATTATAATTATAAAAATTGTGTAAGACAAATATCAATAAATCATAAAATAAATAAAATTATCGGAAAAAAATAAAAATATCGTAAGTATAAATATGTTATTATTATATAAAAATTTAAATAATTGATAAAAAAATTGCATAAATAAAAAATAATAATAAACTTTTTATATTAGATGTTAAATTATAAAATCTAAACCATAAAGATTTCCAAAAAACTTATTTCAATACTATTATAATTGAAAAATTATCTTTAATTAAAGTAAATTTATAATAAAAAAAAACTTTATTTAAATTAAAATAGTAAAAAATTTAATTCACAAACGTAAAAAACAGTAATCTTTAATAAAAAAATACAATTTCAAAGAGAGTAAAAATAGTAAATTTATGTAAATATTATATAATAGAATAATAACTATTAAAGTAAATTACTATAAAATTAAATTCGTTTAAATAATAAAAATTAATCTAATTATAAAATTAGATTTATAAAAGTAATTATAAAAAAAACGTTTTCCATTCGTGTCATCTGGGAGCCGCCCTGAAGCAATTAAGGTACTAACAAAAGATTTTTCTTCGTATAAAAAAAAGCTCAATGCAGAAGTTTCTGGCGAAACTCTTAATTATATTAATTTTAACAAAAAAAATCAACTTAATAATTTAAAAGTATATATCTTACAGCATAAAAGTTTCATTCCAGCATCCCTTAAAAGTAGATTTCGTTCTAACTAACTTATTATTAAACTTGATTTCAAGAAAATAAGTGGTTTTATGAGGCAGTCCTACAATCTTTTCAACTAAAAAAAAAGTCAGTAATTAAAAAAATCAATATATTAACTTTTATATAATAAATAAAAAATAAATTAAATTATATTAAAATAACAAGAAGTATAAGATAAAAACAGTTAACCTTTAACAAAGTACACGTGGCCTTCTCTTCTGCAACGAGTTATAACATCCTCTACATACTCTATAAAAAAAAGAAAAAAAAAAAATTAAATGTTAATATAAAACTAATATTTAATAAATTGAATGATATAATTATCGAACAAACCTTAAACAAATAAAAATATAAAATAACCTAAGTAAACAGGTTACTAAATTTAATATAATTATCAATGTAACTAAATAGTAACAAAATTTATTATAAAAAAGAAATAATTAAATAGTAAAAGAAGCAGTTAAACAAACAAACCTCTAATTAACAAAAATATAATATTATTTCATAAAAACAGGATTAATTTAGCATGAAAAAAAAAGCTGCTAACCCTTTGCGCAAGCCATACTGATATCTACTAATACGCCGTGCAGGCCCACTTTTTATTTTTTAAATATGTACAAAATAACATGCTCCAATAAAACGCATTTATTTGAAACATAAGTACGCTGTTTTGAAAGCATTAGCTTACTAGCCAAATTCGGTTTTTTTTTCAAATGATTTTTGTCTTGTTCTACCTTTTCGTTTTTGTAAATGTGACCACCGAAACTTTTTTTTACCATGTTTTTCTTACATTTCTTCTTCTCGCGTTCCAAATGTCGTTAGTCAGTTTGAGATTTTTGTTCCCTCACTCGGTTAACTTTATTTTTTAGTAATTAGGATATATCCATTAATGTTATAAAATAATATGTATTTTTTTAATATAAGCAAAGTCAAATTTTACTCTTGAACCAGTTAACCAGAGAGTAGTGGTATGGTGAACCTTCTAACGCTATAACTGTTTAATTCTCTTAAAAAGTCAGTAAACTTTTTTTTAAGCCCTAAACGGGATGATAGCAAACAAATAAAATTAAGCTTGTATTGAAGCAAGTTGTATATCTATATCTATCTATATATACATTATGATTTCTAGCCGCTTAAATTCCACTGACGAAACCCAGGCCGCAGAAAGGGTCCTAGATCAAGATACTTTTCTGAACAATCAGTCAAGCTTGGTCCTAAGGTTCCCTCTGGAAATATTAGCGAAACTTTTATTAATAAAATTTTTCTACCGCATACGAATGCAAAGCGCAGGGACGTTTTTTGGTTATCAGCACGTTTAGCGCTGTTTATAGTTTTCACAAATTTTTTTTTTACTTTTTATTGCATAGAATAATAAGTAACTATAGTGTTCATATTTTTTGTTCTTAAAAGGCAGTGTTGTTAGTATTAAAGAGTAATTATAGAAAATTTATTCTTTTATATTGTAACTGAGCTCTTTTGCCATTAACCGATTGGTGCGCTGGGTAAGCCGTTGCGGCCAGCATAAGATGTAGTAAGCAAAGAGGTTACTAACAGTATGTTATGATCGGTCGGATTTATACAACAAAGTAATCCATTGGCACAAAGTAAAAGACACATAGTTTGAGTCATTGTCTTGAATTCCGTTCCTACATAGTTTACTTCCTGCCTTCAGGACTTATTGTTTAAGGTGACCCTTAAATGTTTCGTTTGGTGACTCCAAGGAATTGGTAAAGCAGTGTGATTAAAAACGAATTCAAAATTAGATACAAAGTAACAAAATTAAATCTTTTATCGTCAATTAAAACATGTAATTTAATCTTACACCAATAAATAATACACATTAATATAAAAAATTCTACGTTCAGACACCACCAATGAAATAAATCTTTATTTTTTGTTTCTTACATTTTTAAGAGGGTCCTAACTGTTTTGAGGATCCCTTGGAAATCACTCCTAAGGACTGAGAGCAACTTGCTAATACATTTTAAGATTTAAAGGCCAAAATGGCCAAAAGTTAACTGTGATTAATATATAAGATTGAGTAAATGCAATAGCGGGCCATATATATGTGTAAAGAAAAATACTTAATAAACATTAAAGGTTACTCTTCTACTTGCGACCCTTCGTTTTATAACTGTTTGTTTTTTCTTCTAAACTTAACATCAGCCAAAAAAAACCCCAAAGAAACTAGAAAAAAGGGACAGTATAGTATTTCTATGGGGTTGTTAGAAGAGTACCACTTATCAAAAGTCTTGCACAACCAATTAAAAAGTAAATTAGGAAATATAAAAGGAGTAATTAAAAGATTGCATTAAACAAGGTATTAAATAGGGTACGCTAATACACAGGGGTCGCAGTCTGTTAGCGTTGGGCGAAAGTTAATCCAATAATGCTTTATCTTGCACTCTCTTTCAATGTTACGTTAGAGGCATGAGTTAATCAGTGAGAACTTCGCTTTAGGAGCTATAGGCAACAACTGATTAGCAGGCACTAACATCTAAGGACCGATGCTTCGGGTAGACGTAGCCTTGAAATTATATCTACACATATATTATTCTACTAATTTAGTTCTGGATATTAGCGTACCCTTTATAATAATCCCTTGCCACCCATTCCCTGAACAACTCGTTTTATATATCCCTTCTTCCTAGGCTAGTCTTAAAATAATCTCTGTTATCCCCTTTACCTTTTAAAATAAATTGTAAGAATTGTTAAAATTATAAATAGCTAAACTGGTTAATTAGTAAAAAAACGTCGCCTTAAGTCGGTTTTCCTCTCTATGGTACCTCTTTTTTCTTGTATTTATACAATGCGCTTTGTGCCGAAAAGGGTGTCCTATATTTCGCTTTAGTAGAGATTTTATTAAAATATAAATAAATTTACTTAAAAATGTTTATGATACATATGAAAATGTAGTAGAATAAGTCGAGAGGAACTGATTTTATTGTCAGAGATTTATTGTGCTAAAAACACCGATTTGAAGAGCGATTTAAAATTACCTATGCTAATCAGACTCTCTGTTTTTGAATTTTATTAATTTTGGAATAGTTAATGGGCGACACCAGCTGGCGGCTTTGACGAAGGGTAGATCGTCGTTATGGAAGTTTGTTCGAAACTTTTAAAGGGAAGGATTAATGCCATTTAATAAGTTTTTTAAGAGAAACTTAAAATAACGAAGTTTTTAAAAGTAGAACTTTAAATATTGCAAAAAAAAGTTTTTTAAAGGCATTAAACCAAATTTAGAAGAGGTATTATATTATTAACTGTGTTATTAAAAAATATAGTATGCTTCTGCCAATAACGAAGATCAAAAACTGCGCTTTGTATCAACTATAAATTGCGAATTATTAAGAAAAGTACAATACAAAATTCTAATTCACTCTTTCTTCAAGGACTTATCATGGACGAACAAAAAAAGTTAACGCTCTTGTACTAACAGTTAAAATTTTATACTTTATAAATATAACTTCTAAATCTCGCAATATCACTTTGAGTCTAATTACAGTAAACATCTTATAAAGATAGTTTGAAAGACTCTTCTTCTTTAACAAAGTTGTAAGTCACCTTAAATAATTAAAAAAGGTTTTCTACTTTTAAGTTAATGGAGAAACTAAATAGTGCTTTGAAGCCGATCCCAAAAGTTAATTATATTTAATGGAAAATTTTGTTAACTTTAATTTAATGTTTAAAAACATATAAATGCTGTCTCTTCTATATTTTTATATTGTATATATTTAATGTGCTTTGGATTACTTCATTACTATATCCTCTCAATTTTCTTTACATTCTGTGTGTAATATAATTCCCTTAATGGTTATTTTGATATTGTTGTTTTTCATTTCTGTTCGGTGCAAAATAAAAATATTATATTTTGTAAGTAAAAATAAATATATGCTTTTTTTTAAGCTACTAAACTTGCATGCCTGTAGGAATTATATTTATATCAAGTTTGCCCTTTTTTTAAATTTTACGCTTTATTAAAATAATTAGTGTACCCTACTAGTCTCATAACTTTCAGCGTAATAAAGAATTTCTATAATAATAAAACTTATTAACAAGATGCAGCTGTTTTGTGTTCTTTATTTATGTAAGACCTGAGGACGTGAGGCGCGCCAGTGGTATAAATTTAGTTAAATAAGAATTCTTTTTATAATCGAATTTTTTTATACTTTTTTTTAAAAATGTAAATGTTTTTAGTTGATTTTTTGGTAGTTACGAAAATTTGATTAAAAAGAAATTACTTAAAGTTTTGTTGATCATTATAATTAATAAAAGCTGAAAGTTGAGCTTATTCCGTTTTAAATTCAAATATATTTTGAAATACTTTTCATGTAGATAATTACTATAAAATTTTATAAATGAGTATTTTAAGTAAAAAGTTCATAGAGAAAAAGTTGTTCTTACAAAGTTAAGCTAATTAGTTTAGTGAGGCTAAATTTAATTAATTTATTTAATCTATAAAAATCTGATGTAGCTATAATAGATGTGATAATTTTAGATGTTTTTTAAATAAAAGATTCCCCTTATGTTAGGAAACTGTCTTTTCATTTTTTTTTTTAGAAAAAAATTAAGAATCGTTACTATTTAAAAAACTTTATTGCAAATTTCTTTGTAAAGTTCACAAAATGAACTTAACGCTTACTACCTTATTTTTCCAGCTCAAAAGATTATCTAATGCCTCTCACTACGTTATTAAGATTCTAGAGATTGAAATTTTGCGTTGAAGGAAATTTAAGCGCATAAAGATTCCGGTAACACCGTTTATAAGGAAAACTGTTTTAAAAATTATTTGAATTTAGCGGAGTAGCATAAAATTAGATTATAATTAATTGTTTTAAAACTAAAAGTATAAAATGCAACCGTAACCTAAACAAGTTTAAAGAAAATAAACAAGTATATGTACGTTAGGATTTTTTTTTCTCTATTGTAATTTTATGAATTCAGTTTATTCAAATTATTATCTAATTAAAGTGAAAAATGAGTTTTAGCAGTCTAGATTTATTAGTTTAATTACTGAACTTTGTCTCAACGAAGTATAAAATAATATGGTGAATCAAAAAAGCGCGTGAGAATTTATAATTTTCTATTCAACCAATAAGATTTAATTTTTTTAAAATAACGTAAAAAGTATGTAGATAATAATTTTTGAATCTTAATTTAAATCTAATTAAATTTTGTAATATAAAAGATATATATAGAACATTCATATAAAAGCTTGTTAAAATTTTTTTTATTTTAAGTGGATCTAGTTGAATCTAGGTTTACACAAAATATAAAATTTTTTGGGATCTACTTAAATTTTATATGAATATAAATAAAATTAGTGGATGTACACAACATTTGAAATATATTTTCTGTAATGAAAGTGCATATTCAAATCATTGATAACAGTTATAAGTGATATAATAGGTTCATCTTTTAGATCGTTAGTCTTATTATTACACTCACCATAAAGGTAGCTTCCCACTCGCATTAATTTTATACCACCTCATACGCTAGTAGTGAAGTCGTACAATTCGCATTAGTTGTACTTATTAATTTCTATAAAATATTTCATGCTTAT